TGTGTGTGTGTGTGTGTGTGTGTGTGTGTGTGTGTGTGTGTGTGTGTGCAGAAGTCACCACATGTGGAGGTCTAAGGACAGTTTTTGGGAGTCAGCTCTCTCCTTCTCCTATGTGGGTCCCAGGGATGGAACTCAGGTCATTGTCTTGGCAGCAGGTGTCTTTACCCATTCCAGCATGATAGAGCCTTGTGTACTTGCTTCTTTAATCCCCTACAATGCATTGAAACCTAGAATGTTCTATGTAGTTAAGGATAACCTTGGTCTCCTGTTCCTCTTACCTGTACATATCAGGGACTATGGGAGTCCAGCCTCTCAATAGTCTCCTCCCAGGGTCCGGGAAGAATCTACAACCAGTTGATAATTAATCTTTGATGTAATGAAATGAATCTATGTACACGAAACTCCTTAGTCCATACACTTTATTCTCTGAGTCAGTTCTCTCTCTACACAGCTTCTATTCTGCTCTCATGCCTAGCTCCTTTCTTGCCTGATTTCTCTCTACATTTATCTCTTTCCCCTCTAGGTTCCATCTTAATTCCTTCATCTAGTTCTGCCCCATCTAGGTTCTCATCCATCTAGTTCTTTCCCATATCAGCTCTTGTTCTTGTTCTTTCTCAGCGTGTTCTTTCCCATCTGACTCTTCCTCATCTTCCATCGTGTTCCTCTAGTACTCTCTTTTAGCCCTTCAATCTTGTTCTTCCCATCTTGTCCATTTCTCTCCAGTTCTTACCCATCTAGTTCTTCTGTTCTCTTTTCTCTGTCTTGTCCTCAAGTTCTCTAGTTAAAATCCTCCTTCTTCCTCTCAGTTCTCTGACTCTCTCAGTTCTCCCCAAGTCTCTCAGGAATCCAGTTATAAACCCAAGCAATAGCAATCCTCTCACAGAGCAAGGTCACCAGGCTTCAATTCTTACAGGGTCATAAAGGCAGGTAAGAATTTTCCTCAAGCAGTGACCACCAGGCTTTCTTTTACAACCCAAAAGCAGAATGGTAAAGGAGGAGGTCAATAGAGAGCTAATGATCAGTTAGTATATCAAGAAGGGGATGTATATGCTCAGTCTACATTCCTAGAAGTGGTTAGGTAAGAAGTTAGGAGTCTATTAGTAAGGTTGTATAAGAAAGGAGGGTCTCACCCTAAATTGCACAAGAAATAAAGCTATCCCCCTGACCTAGGAGACAGGTGTTGTTTCGTTTGACCTTGGATGCTTAATAGGCATTTTAGATAAATACACTGTTAGGAGTTCTTGGAAGCACACAAGAAAACCATTTTAGGAACTAGCTAGTATATATACAAAAGCTAAATATCATCAAGACTTCTTAAACCATAGCTTGACTTTTGGAGAAGACGTTGACTTTTCCAAGTAGTAGCTTTTGTGATAGTAGCTGGATTCCATTCCATTTTCCAGCAGCTTGTAGCCTCCTCCTCCCAAGTACTGGGATACAGTCATGTGTTACTATGCCTGGCTAATTTGATTTTTGAAGACAGAGTCTCATGTAGCCCAGGTTGTCCTTAATTTGATTTTTAGTCAAGGATGACATTTTTCCCCCATTTCTTTCTCTTATTGTATTATGTTTCAGTATTTATTTTAAGACAGGGTGCCACTATCTAGCCAAGGCTGTCTTGGAGCTCACTATGTAGTCCAGGATAGGCCCAAATCTGTCAAGATCCTGTTGCCTTCACGTTCTGAGTGCTGGGATTGCAGAAGTCTCTCCTCAAGTGTCCCTAAGGTGACCTTGAACTCCTGATGTCCTTTTTTCCAAGTTTTTAGGTACAAAATATATGCCACAATGCCTTGCTCTTTTTTTTTGCTTTTAGAATTAGTAGCACTTAGTTTCAAAACCAGGCTCAGATGTAATCCAGACTGACTCTGACCTCAGGATTCCCTTGTCACACCTCTGGAGTGCTGGGATTAAAGGAACGTGATGCACACCCAGCTTTTGATTTAGTAAATCTGTTGCCCTTTTCAAATGAACCTCTGGGAAGTGTTACAGAGGTATTTTCAATAGTTGGAAATTTATTTCACAGCCACTGGCCTCTGGCTTGAATTTCAAATCCTGTCCTGGGGTAAGGTCACCCCAGGAGTGACTGTGCCAGGAGTGAGGACACCTCAGCTTCTGGAGGTGGAGCTGACAGTGAGGAAACAGCCCAGGAGAGAGACATGAGGGAACATCCTGAGGGGTGGAGGAGGTCAGGAGAGTTCAGAGTCCTGGAAGCCAGTGAAGAAAATGTTCCCTGAAGAAGGAAACAAGTCAAGAGTGAGGGCTGACACCTGCAGCCCCAGGGCTAGGGGAGCAAAGGAAGGTAGATGGCTGCAAGTTCAAGGCCAGTAGTGAGATTCTAGTGAGTTCCTGCACCTTCTGCAGTGATAGCCCAACTCAAAAACAAACAACAACAAAAACCCAAGCAACAACAGCAAAAGGAAGACAGGAGGTCAATAGACCACAGGTAGAGGCTCCATCAGGAGCAGTATGGGAACTGATTATTGGACTAGCCATGTGAAGACCTGTTTCCATCTTGACAGAAGCAGTTTGATGCTGATCTTTTTGGAATGGGTTAAAGAAAACCACAGAGAGTAATTACAGTCGGGGAATATGGACAGCTCCTGCAAGGCTGCTTCAGACCCCAGCGCTGGAGCCAGGCTCACAGAGGATGTGAGATGGATGCTGCCCTCTCCAGCTCTCAGGCTGTCACTGAGCAGAGCTATGTTGTTCTGGAATGTCTGTGGTGCAGGGTAAAGATTCACCAGAGCAGAACTGGCATTAGAGTTTTAATGAAGAACAGACTCTGTGGACAGAGACACAGCAGGCTGGTTCTGAGAGAGAGAATTGCACCCAGCAGGAGTGGGGCACTTTCACCACAGTTGAGAACAGTTACCTGCCCCCCTTCATTTTGCCCTCTGTGTACTTGTTTGAGTGACAAGGTGGGCAGCTCACTATTTGTCCACAGTGACACTTGTCACACCAGGTGTCCATTTGGGGTGCAGGCTCTTTAAGCTAGGATTGTTTGTAAATTAGCACAGGTCACTCTGTCAGGATCTGAGAAGCAGGGGAGCTGGTTTTCACTTTAGCCTTTGCTTGTGTGTGCCTCAGGCACTTCATGTACCTCATCCTGGTCCTGGCAATCCTCCTGCTTCAGTCTTCTGAGTGATGAGATTACAGATTTGTGTCA